GGGCTGCGCGGCCGGCGCCGCGGCGTGCGGAGCGGGCTCGGGGCTGCCCCGGCCGCGGGGCTGCTCGCCCTGAGCCTTCCTTGGGCTCCATGTTGCGGGACGCGCCAGTAATGAGACTGCAGAATGCCGTTATTTTTCCTCACGGGACTTCAGAATGTTTTTTTTCTATGACCTAATCGGCGGGCAAAATGCCCGTTCTTTAAATCGTAGCTTACAGGCGGCAGTGGTTCTAAAACTGCTGGAGGCTTCAGGTGGCTGGTAGGGACTACTCAGCCGGAGGAGAGTCGTTAGGGCAGCTGAGCAATTTCTGTCTATATCTCCCTTTGGAATACGTTATAGAATAAATCTAGTCCCCGAATAATTCTAATAAAATAGAGGATCACATATCCCAGCCGGGAGGCTTAATTTCTAATTGCAACTGCATAAATCAACAGAAGGCATCCCTCTCAGGACTATTTTCAGACCCAGCCGGTGATTGAGTCACAAATGCATTTTTCACGTCCTTATTGTGAAATAGAGGTCGGGATAAAATACAATCAGAAGACTGAAATGAAGCTCTTGGATATAGATCCTCATCCATTAAATTAGTGTCTCTCGCTGGCTTTTAGTTTCGCTGTGTTCAACAGTCTGAATTAATTGAGTTCAACAGAACAGTCTCACAACAGCAGAGAATCTGAATCTATTTCTAAAATGCATATGCAATGGCTAGAGCCTCTGAAGGCCGTACCATACCTGTCCCCAAGAAAGAACTTCTGATTGCCTGAATAATATAGCACAGATAATGTTACTGTTTCAGTAAACTCCCTGAAGTCTAAGGATAGAGCAAAATCTGCACTTCCTTAAGAGCAGAATCTCTTGAGAACAGTTGAGACTGAAAGCAAGCTTAAGTATTAGGAGAAGTCCATGCGTAGTTCAGAAAAGGTCACTGCTAGTTAATCATTCTTAATTACTGAGAAGCAAGGAAATTCCATCTCCCATTTCCCCCCATCAGATTTCTTTTCTGAATAGCAAAGAACTAAAATTGTCTGAACAAGCTTAATAAAGTCCTCCAGGAAGTTGAGCTCATTTCCAATATTAGAATAAGTGCTGTACCTACAAAAGAGGTGAGTTCATAGGAAGCTGATGGCAAGCTCTGTTTCCCTAAATGTTCAAAGCTTTGTTTGTCTTTTTCTAAAAGTACAAACCAAGTGATGTCTTAGTGGTTAAATCAAAACCTCCATCATTTACCCCTGAAATACTTTTATCAGATTAGAAATGTTGCGAGTAAAGCCTGCTAGCTTCTGTCTGCTATGTGCTTGCCTATCGTCAAAGGAAGACCCTTTACAGGACATAGGTCTAACCAGTGGATCTTTTAATTGCATAAGTTAGTTTGACACTTGTGTAAAGAATGATTTCCCTATCATATTGCTCAAAATGCTTTTGAGATGTGGAGTGAATATTGTACTAATGCAAAAATAATACTTGTCACTAAGTATCTGTTTGGAAGCATAATGAGATTTTACCTTGTATTCTTCCCAGCTACTGGGGGATATTTTCTTCTTCAAAAGTTGTTGGCTCAGTTTTGCATCTAGTCAAGTCAGGTGAATTTTGCCATGTCAAGTAGATACAGGAGCATAAAGGAGAACATGACCTCAAAAGTAGATGGGTGTAAGTCATAGCCATCACATTCAGACTGGAAGCATAGTGTAGGTCTCCTTAAGGTTTCGACTTAACCTGTTGTATACCCAAGGGATCATTAAGAAAATGTGTGTTTGCACACATCCATTACCCGCCAAACAGCCACAGGTCAGACCTGGGGTTTAGGCACACACACATCTTTGGTAGCAGTCACATAAAAAAAAATCAATGGTAGGTTGTATTTCCTTACTTATAAAGGCAAAAGGATAACAAAGGATGACACAGTTTAAAATTAGTAAGAGACAGCAGTTTTTCAAGTGTGTGCACTTGAGTGGAAAATGTTCCTACCCTCTTTCTCTGAATTCCAGTGTTAGAATTCTGTATTTCTGCTTATTTTTCCTATCACGCAAGTCTCTTGTAGAGCTCCAGTGATTACTCTGGCCGGATAATTCTGTTCTGAGATTGTAATGCATTATACCACTTCTGTATAACAGGAAAGGGAACTTCCTCTTTAAAGCTACGTATTACTAAGTAAGGAGGATTTCTGATGGGCGGAGTTCTCCCTTGAGCAGGCTAGATAAAGGCTTGCGGGATTTACAGACCTCTCAGACTGCAATCAGCATGAACTGCAGCCTGTCGGACAGAGTGCTGCTCAGCTACGCGATGGCTGGACAGCGGGACAGGTTGTGCCTTCAGTCTCTTTGGGACTTTGTCACAGCAAAGGAGCCATTGATCAAGTCACCTTTTTTTCCAGTGCTGTTTTCTTTTACAGCATACATGGCTTTCTGTCTTCCATATATTGCACTGGACTTTTTAAGCACTGGACTACCAAACTTGAGAAAATACAAAATCCAGCCACAGAACTATCCAACTCTTGGAATGATGGTGCCTTGCATTATTCAAAGTGCGTATCACCATGTTGTTTTGATCTTCCCGGTGACGTTTCTCCACTGGTACTGGAGACCAATGAATCTACCAGTGTTAGCTCCAGAGCTGCCTGAGGTCCTGCTGGAAGTAGGAGTTTGCCTGCTTCTGTTTGATTTTGAGTACTTCCTGTGGCATTTGCTTCATCACAAGGTGCCTTGGCTCTACAAGACTTTCCACAAGGTGCATCACAAGCATGTGTCAACGTTTGCTCTTACTACACAGTATTCCAGTGTATGGGAATTGCTCTCACTGGGATTTTTTGCTGCTATCAACCCAGTGCTCCTCGGATGCCATCCTTTGACAGAAATGATTTTCTTCCTTGTAAACATTTGGTTGTCAGTGGAGGACCATTCAGGATATGACCTTCCGTGGTCAACTCACCGACTTGTGCCTTTTGGTTTATATGGAGGAGCACCACATCATGATCTCCATCATCTCAAATTCAAATCAAACTATGCTCCTTACTTCACCCACTGGGACAAACTCTTCGGGACATTCACAGAGTCACATTCTAATTAAGGATATTTACCTGTGGACAAACTCTTACTTTTTTATAGACTAAACGGGGACATTAATTTTTCAAAGACATGCGGAAGATTGTATATTTGAAGCTGCCTGTAAAAGCAATAGCTATTTATAACAAATCCTCTTAATATATGTGTATTTGTATGTATACTTGGAACTGTCTATGTTAAATGACTGCAAATGGGAGGGTAAATATCTGTTGCTTAAATTTGTTTGAGTCAAAGGTGTAAGGGAAGCATTAAGAGACATTCTCTCTTCTTTCCTTCTTTCCAGCTTTCATAAAGCATGTATTGTATTACTGTATGATGTTTTATACATACACCAGAACAACTATCTTACTGTTGTAGGATGATTTATGATGTAAACAGAAAAGGTACACATCATGGATTTTGTGGAGTTTAATCTGCTAGAGCATATTATTGCACAATGATGTTGTAAAATATTGCTGCCAAACAAAGCTAGTTGGCTAACTGTTGCAATAATTTTGATATTTATATTTTAAACCTTGATGTACTGTCTGTTTTTAATAGAAAATAAATATGGTCATTCTTTTAAAATTATATTCTGTTTCATTTTATTCATCCCTCTGTTCATATTAGGAACAGGTATGATTCCTTTTGCATAGGTGTCATTTATTTGAGTTTCAGAGTTTCAGACTTTTCTTATTAAAATATTGCCATGTTATTTCAAAAGTGAACCGTTTACTTTTTCTCTAGAATCATGTGTTATTTTTAAATAGTTTTCAACTTTGTAGAAACAGAATATTAAAGAATGCAGTTTAAAAAACCATAGTGAAATTTTATTATTACATTTTTAAGAAGCTTGAATACTTTTCACTAAATTGAGAGAGCAGAACATTAAGCAGCCCCTTAATAAAAGGGAGCACTGGTCCTTTACAACCACATCAATTAATTGTTACTTGCATACAAAAACCTGGCAAGGAATATAAACAGGTTTCTACAAAATAGGTGATTCTTTCAAGCAGATTTCAGAGGAATAGAATCAAACCTTTCAGAATCCTAAACCATAGAACAAAACAGCTACATGTTGCTAAAAGAACAGTTATATATAAAACATTGCCATGTAGTCTCACAGAAGTCACACTGAAAAAAATAAGCATGATGAGATAAGCAGGTCTTCCATGTCTCATTCAGCAGAGATCTGTATGGACTTCTTATGGCCACTATATAACATTTTAATGCTTATAATCTTCTATCCTGTATTACTAATAAACTTCTCAGGATACTGAAGGGAACAGAGAAAGTGCAAATAATGTAGCGAGTGCATAACGAACACTTATGCATCATCATCCAAAAATGTCTTTGTCATTGTGTTATGTCTAGAGGGTTGTGTGACCTTACAGAGGCTGTTTGTCCAGGAGAAGAGCGAACCCTTAGTATTTCCAACAATGTGAACTTATAAAGGGAACAGCACTTTTGGACACTGCATCTTTTTGATAACAGAAAATAATTTTCATAAACATCTTCATAAACAGTATGAAATGCTGCAATCTTAATACTTAACTACTCCCTCTGCTCTCTGGATATCACACGACAGCAACCCTTCTTTTCAGTGGTAAGAACATGACACATCCAGAGAGCAAAACCCGAGGCTTAAAAGAATACAAAACTGGAATTTTTGCCATGCATCTATTTAGCTGAAAGAATTCCCAATCTTTCTGATGATTATAATCTTAAGTATTTTGGGATGTGCTACAAAGAGAGGGAAGTATTCTTTTTTTCTGCCAAATGCAGGAGGCAAAATAGGGTCTCTGATTTCTTTGAGCTGTTTAGCCATTTTGAGGTACCCCAAAGTTACCCTCTCAGTTCTAGAAATCCCACATAATTCAGCTTGGCAAATACTGAGCATCTGACAATGGTGCTCTGTGGTTTCAATGAGTTATATCTTATACTATAACTATATATTGTAACTATATACTATAACAGTCTGTTTCATGTACTATTGGCTCTCTGAGTAAGCAAGGTTAAGACTAACTGCTGCTTGGATACGTTGCTATAGGAAGCCTATAAGAAAATACTATAAGAAAGGTTGTCGTTGTACCCACGGGGATTATTCCGCTTTTTTGTGTGAAGCTTAAGACTTGATACAACAGATACATTACTATGGGAGAAAGAGTCCTAGTCAGCTGCAAGCAAAAGCATGCTTGCTCTTGTCAAGTCAAGTGAGATGATAGTCTCTTTTGGCATTGACAGGGTAGCATAACAGCAGTGAGGATGATCAAAGTGACAATGGAAGGAGGCAATGTACTGCATGATGGTCCTGCCTACGCCTCTCTCCCTCACATCCACAATGTTTGCATGACTTCAGACACACACCAAGAATGCATTTCCTCAAATATGAAATTTCCCCCAGGTGATATCTGTACTGAACCTCTTGCCAATCAGACCTGGAATCTCGGTTTAAAGGCTCGTTATTGCATGAACTTGGAATACTAAAAAAACCCAATAAACCAAATAAACAAAATAGTTGTCAAAAGAAAATTTGACTAGTACATGTCTGGAATGGCTTATTTGAATTCCATGCTAGAAATATCTGTACTTTGTCATCATGACATAATCCTAGCATACCTTGTCCCTCTTTCTCCAATACTTTGAAGGTAACTTAGGCTCTAAACCATGAGGGATTGAAACCATTTGTGTATTGCATGTACTTTGAAGCACTTTCTATAACAGTGAAAAATAATATAACTTTAGGTGTATGTATGAGAAACTCATGAGCAGAAGACCCAGACAAACATGTAACTTCAGGGATTTGCAATTCAATGAAAAGCAAAATATAGATGAAAATGTATACTGAAAAGAAAGCAAGTAAGAGTGGGTTTTTTTCCTGTTTTCATTGAAAGTTCAGCATATACTGTACCACCAAGCATGAGAGCACAGCAAGTTCTCTGTACTGATGGTGCTGAAATTTTAAAACAGGAATTTACAGAAGTTACTTCCTATGTTTGCATTTCCCCATGGTCTTTACCACAAGTCTTTACCAGACAAATGGCATGACACTCTATTGTAAGGGTTTATGTCAGAAAACCAAAACCAACTTTCTCTTTTCTGTTCCAAGATTCTTCTAGCTTCCTTCCTCATTATAACGTGACATGATGTGCCACACAGACTTCCTATCTAATCTGCCGAAAGCTAATCTGTTGTCATTTGTGAGTAAATAATGTTTGCACAGAACCTTGAAGCTATAAAATAAGATTTTTGATGCTGCTATTGTCCACTTTATATCTTTAGAAATCCTAACTTAATAAAGGTCAAAGAAGCAAGATTTTATGCATTTCTCTTTGTAACTGTATCTTAGTTCTTAGGCACATGGTTAAATACTGAATTCTTAGTCTGATCTTACAAATTGCAGGAGTTCCCAAATTCTCACTGGCAATTTAGCACTACTCTTCAAATTTAGGCTAAGCCTTTTAAATGATACCAGGTTTGGCAATTTTGAAGTAACAATATACAATACTGCAAAGGGACAGGTTTTTGCTCAGTGAGTGCGTTCTCAGCACTGCTGGAAAGTGTGCCTCTCAGGTGCTTCAGAGAGCGTGTATAAAGTTTAGAGCCATGCCGAGTCACTATTCACTTCTGAAAAAGGCTTTGTCCTTATCTGTGTTGATCAAATGCAAGTACTTTACAGGGGAAAACAACACAGTCTACAGCTATGATTTTTTTATGATTTGAAAAACAATCTATGTCATTAATGGATTTAGTGACTTGGTTAATCTAATCTAGTGCGTTATCTGGATTAAATGAAAAACTAGTATCTCTTTGGGCTATCCAACTGTTCTATCTCTAAATTAGTGTTGAAGCAATTTGTAATGACAGAACACTTAATTGTCATCCATTGCCCCTCAATGTTATTGGAAGGAGTGAATAACTCTTTGATGTAGCTTTATCTTAGTGGACTCAGCAGTCACTTCAGCCATTTCACTTATTCTTGCTTTCATGCACAAGAATTAAGCTTCAACTATTACCTGCCTACATCCATGCAACTCTTTCTGAAGCAGGTACAGTTCTGTATCTGAAAAAAATGACTCATCTTGGACTCTCTCAAAATACAAAACCCCTGTGGATTTATTCCCAGATTACCTTGACTGAGACTAATCAGTTCAAGCCTACATCACATTTACATGTAAACTGCATCTAAGACCGTGGGCTTAGCTGATGTGCCAGTTTGCTCAAACATTTAGGCTGGTCCTGCATTGCGCCGTACAATCCAACCTGAAAGGTCTTTGTAGCATACTCTGGAGTTGTGTTTGCATATGTTTTTCTTGTAAAAACAACTGCCAAACAATTGTTTTCCAAAACTTAAATGTGTTTCTAATTTATGGAAATTTGTAGTTGCTTAGGACACAGAAAAATGTGCCCCCCCCACCCCCACCCAATAGAAGCATTCCAGACTTTAAAGGGAACAGAACTAATGCAGAGGGGCTTTTAGCTGTGGAAAATGATGCTGAGTTTTTTTAATCTTTCTTTTCAGACTTCTTTTTAAAAAGAAGATTTGAAAAGCTTACTAATCGCCTTGTCCCCCAAACTGCAATAATTGCCATGATCAAGGCTGTGGATATGGACAGGGGGAGGAGAGAAAGGAGAAAGGGAAAGGAAACCGGTGTGTCTGCAGGCACTTCCATCACTGTCCCTCAGTGCAGTGCACACTGCCCGTCAGGTACGGATGGACTGCTGCTCTGATGTATCTTTTCCACCATGGCACAGATGCTTTCAGCCCTCAGGTTCTTACTGCTAGAGGGGTGCAGATGCCACATCCACACACATCTTTTCCTTTCTGTCATCTAGTTCTTTCTGGAAATTCCCACAGCAGCAAAACACTGCGACCTGCAAGAGGAAACTCCACCTTTGGTCAGCATAAATGCAAACATACTTTTGTGTCATCAGGTATAAGGTTAAGTTAAAAAAAATCTACAGGCACATGGACTGGAGTGCCTCCTCCATGCTCGGTTTTGAGATAACAGATTTTACATATGTGAAACCAAAAAGCTAACAAACCAAGCTGGATGGTTAGTAGGACAGGCAGGCAGAAACATGACTTTCGTTTCAGTCTGTTGAGGTGAATGTCAATACTATAGACATGTGATTTGGAGGCATGTGGAAGGATGTGTTACCTATACTTCCAGGGAGAGTTTAGATAGCAGGTACTTTTATTTGTCCTCAGAACTAAGCAGCAAACAATTCAGGGGATTAAGTAGCCCGAAGTCTAGGATGAGTGATAGAAAATCTGGTTTTAAGGTGACCAAGATGCACCCTCTTTATCAAAAGGAGATGAGAAAGCACTGCTAGAAATTGTATTGATGTAAAGCTGTTTACACACAGACCTTCACAGAAGCTGTGGAAGATTACACCCCTAAGAAACAACACGCTTGGGTAATTACAAAGCCCCTTTAAGTGATTTATTTACAAAACTTCCAGAGCTAGTCTACATAGCTGACACAATGAAATTTGTCAAGCTATGCAGGAGAATGACCATGGGAAATAGACGGGTGCTAAGGGCTGGAATGATTTAATACCATGTGAGCATGCTCCTCT